CAATGCCATCAGCCGAACCAGAACCTTCTCTTGAATCCGAGCCAGTCACTGAACCAAAACCTTCAAGCGACGAATCTTTTACTGAGTCTAGATTGACTACCGTACCATCCATAGAACCAGAGTCTTCAACAGATATGAAATCTCAGGAAGATGTAGACGACAGTCACAATGTTGAAGATTATACTATGGAACCAAAATCTTCTAGCGAACAAGTGTCGTCCAATAAAACACAATCGTCCACCGAGTCTATGATCAGCAACGCTGGTTCGATCACTGAATTACCTGCTACCAAATCTCCCATGGCAGCTACAACCGTAATGCCAGAAGATGAAAGTGCAAGCAAGTCCGGTGATTCTACTAATATGGAACTGGAATCTACTACACTTCCTACAGTCGAAGAAACCACAAGCAACGAAAAGACTACTATACACATGCTAAACGATGATACACCCTTGCCAGTGATACCTTTGATGTCCGATGGCGAGGAGGACAAGACATCAAGCCGTTCATTCCCTGATTCAACAATGAAAGAAATGGATAACGAAGACAAAATGATGACAGCAAGTCCCATGGATGATGATCGTCAAACACCAAAACTTGAAGACACTACTGAGAGTAATACACCTCACGAAGAAGTGACTGAGAATACTATGATGAAAACAGATAATGAAGAATCTGCGAATACAGATATTTCAATGGATCCTAAATCGTCGTCCACTACTAGCTCCACCATTTCTGAGGTAGAGTCTACTACGAATTTGAGTATGGAGTCTGAGACAACATCTCTTCCTGTAGACACCACCGCTGAAAATACAACCGAGTTAAGTTCTATGGTAGACAGCAGTACTACCAAGATTTCAGAACAGCCTACAGTACAGAACACTTCGACGATGCTTGAATCCATCGAATCTTCCTCCATGCAATCCGAAGCAAGTCCACACGACACGAATGAAACCAACGTAATCGAACACATGCCGACAACTGTGTTTCCCAAATTACCAAAGAATTTCGGTCAAAACGTTGAACCACTCCTAGAACCACTGAAGAACGATACAGGGGAACATATTATGATCATACCACAAGAGGAACCGACGGAGGTACAAGATCCTCACGGGATTATTCCTCAATTGATCCCCGAACAGAGCATCAAAACTACAAATGGTTCATCGATCGAAGCCACCACGGAGGAGAACAAGATTCAATCGACAACTGAGACAATTCAGGCAGCTCTAAATCACTCTAAAAGTCATCCGGATGAGAATGTTGTGTCCATAGGTGAAGACAATTTGGATCATTCCACCAATCATCCGCTACATCCTGCCGTGTTCCCTGAAAATGCAGTCGATCATGTCACCGAGAAGTCTGATATAACCTATGATAAACACGTTGACGACATGTCACCATTCTTGCCAGACGTTCAGAAGGAGAAAGAAGTGAAGAAAGCTCCCAGATTGGACAAGGATGAGCAAGACGTGCCCAATCCTTTCGACGGACACGTCGAAGACGTAGTTACAGACAAGCCTATGATGGAACAGAGCACGACTGAACGCAACGTAAATGAAACTGACTTCAAGAATTCGATAAACGACGTACATTCAGAAATACAGGGCACCAAATCGATCAGCGAAGAAGATGATACTAATAAAGTGAATCATACCGAAACTAAAGGTCCCGAAGATGCAGTAAAGGAAGACATCCCTAAAGCTAATAATACCGAGTTCGACGCTCAGAACAGATTAAATACTTACGATGCTACTAACAAAGCAGTCAACGATGAAGTTGCTAAGGACACCGCAGATCTTCCCGAAGAAGATGAAGAATCTCTGAAGGTGGTACCCCTAGAGGAACAATTCAAGGAAACAGAAACGACAATCAAATACGACACAGACAAGGAGAAGTCTGAAGCTTCCACGGAACCTGCAATGACTACGATGAAAGTAAAGGATGAGAAACAAAAACAGGTGGAAGAATCATCAGTGAACAACGTAACGACTACTTCTGAGAAGCCAGAAGAGAATTCTGTGGAGGATCAGGACAATGACATCAATGACGACGCTCTGTCTAAGGGATATCGTCACGATGATACGGAAATCACCAAGATCAAAGAGTCCGGAAGATTACTCACGAATAATGTAGATTCAATTCCAAACAACGAGGGGAAATCGTTGAAACAAATCGATGCTCCTAATCCGAACGACGACGCGAATGTGCCTACGAATAATACCGAAGTTACGGTGACTACCATGGGAAGTATCCCGGACAAACACGTAGAAGATGCGAAATTAACAACACAGATACCTGTGCTGCCGTTGGAGATACAACAGGAGATGTCTACGACCGAGAAGATCGACAGCACGACCGTAACCGAGGAGACAATGCGGAAGGACAACGACACAGAAATGAACGTCGGACATATGAGTTCCGAAAAGGAAGACGCTACGACGATCCAGATGCCAACCACTCATACGAGCTCGATGGAAACGAAAACAACTGCTCAGGTACCAATTCTACCGGAGGAATTGCAGACCACTGAAAGTGATCCAGTACTGACTACGTCCACTATGAAACCGGATGCTGAGAAGAAGGTCAACGATTCGGAGAACACCAATGATGACGAACAATCGAAAGCGATCAACAGGGAAATAGGTAATACGTACAAAACAGAGGATACGATAAACAGTTCAATAGAACACGATAATAAAACCGATGATCTGATCACCAGCGCCGTGGAACACTTAGATAGCAGAAAGATTAATGGCACCTGGCCACAGATAAATGTCCCGATTGTTAATAAAAATGATACGAATGAGGAAAATGTAACTGTTCCAATGGTAACGAGCACTGAAGTCGGTATGAAGATCAATGAATCGATGATGAACAGAACTGCGACAGAAAATCCAATGATCAAAGAGGAACACACGACTGAAAGTAATGCCTTCAAAATGGCGGACAGTTCTAGTACCACGGAGGACGTGAGACCGGTCACAGAAATCCTCGAGGATGACATACCAATGGGTTTCGATTACAGAACATTGTTCGTCACCACGACACCGAAAACTATATTACCCGACCTGGATGTGGGAGAGTTGTCTGAGGAAGATCTGAGGGTGATTCCGTTGGAGAAGACTGCAGAAGTGAAGAAGAAGTCTGTAGACAAGAAGGTGGTTGATAAGTATAAATACAAAAAAGAAAAGGAACTTGATCTGGAAATGAACGATGAAGAAAACGTGTTGACCGAAGTTCCGGATCCCACGATTCTAGTTCTAACCGAGATGCCTCCAGTAGTTACCGAAAAGATTCCAGCTGAAACGAACGCAGACGTCTCGCAGGAAGATGTCGCGATACCTAAACTGAAGATCACGGAAACCACCAGCGGATCCAATCAAACGGAAACAAAAGATTCTGGAGAGCATCCTGGAAATAGAACCAATGCAACGGGATCTAGTAACACGAAGAAATACCCGAGTTTCATTCCCGTTTCGGAGGAGATCGCGGAATCAGAGCCAGTCACCGAGCCCTACATTTACTTTCGACGGCCGAGCCTATCGAACTATACGACAGAAGCTCCATCGGTAACCGGTGAATCATCGGTCGAAGGACAGGCCGCAATTGACCCGGCAAAAATTGCCCAGTTGGACGACACAAAAGCGAATCAAACCGACTACTTGACGGCTGCAATGGTTTCCAACCAATCATCTATTACCTCACTTACGCAGGAAGCAGACGCTAAACCGCTTGCGAAAGAACAAAGCGCGGACACGATGATGGTACTCCCGCCGACCACGCGATTCAAATTACCGGATACACCGGCCGAGACCACCAGTCACATCGACGTTTCGTTTTTGAACCTACCACCGAACATCGTCTTCTCGAAATGCACCGCGGGCCAGTTCCAGTGCGCGAACGGCACCGCCAGGGACGGCGCTTATTGCGTGAAATTATCAGCGAAATGCGACTCCGAGAACGATTGCTCGGACGGCTCCGACGAGTTCAATTGCGTGGAGCAAGGCTGCCCTGGAAACTTCCAGTGCGCGAGCGGTCAATGCCTGAAGCGTGATCTCGTGTGCAACAAGATCCTCGACTGCGACGACGGCAGCGACGAGAAAAACTGCGAGAAATGGGAATGCCAGTCCGATGAATTCCAGTGTCCCAGCGGTAAGTTTCTCAGGCGCAAACAGAATTCATTATTAACGACGTGCCATTAAATGCAAATCGGGTGTTAAAGAAGTGAAAGGAAAAAGGGGGTAGGGAACAGTAGGTCGGTTAATGGGTCCACCGTTGAATACTAATTGGGGACTCTAACGACTGTGAAGAATGTTCGATTTAGAAATAATAAGTTAAGGGGCTATGCTAGTGTGACGGCTATATGATAAGGCAATTTTTGGGAATTTTTTAGAGAAAAACTATTGAACTTATCAATTTGAATGAGTTTAAAAGTTACTGTTCGTCTGTCAGAGCGTTTTAAGGAAATTTTCTTTCCATGGCGGTCATAGTATAGACTCTTGTGGATTTGTGAAATAAAAAAAAAATATTTTCGTAATTTGTATGTGTGTGGCTATAGCCCGGGGTCACAGATTTTCTTTTTTTATATAAGATTTATTGGTTGTTTCAGGACGGTGCATCCCAGGTATCTGGCGATGCGATGGTCGACCCGACTGCGAGGACCATCTGGACGAGTACACCTGCGACGAAAGTTGCGGCAACGACGAGTATCTTTGCCCAACGGAGAAATGGTGCATACCGTTAACGTGGCGTTGCAACGGTGTCAACGAATGCGCTGACGGAGAAGACGAGAAGCTTTGCGACTGTGGAATTGATCAGTTCAAGTGCCAAACGGGCGGATGCGTGCCGGTGAATCAAGTCTGCGACGGGATCGAGCATTGTCCCGATCATTCCGACGAGTGGGGATGTTTGTGGGCCAATGTGACTATGGAGAAGAATCTCACAGATCTACAGAAGGACAGTGAGATCGAGAACAATGGAGGACAAGAGCTGAACGAAAGAACGTCTCTGTTGAAAATAAGGTGAGGACCCGAGTGTACCTCGAGTTATGTTCAAATTAATTATTGGAATCACATTAATAATATTGCTGTTTGAATTTCGTTCTGTCTCCAACTAATTTTGATTATCCTTGAATCACAGACAATTCGACGGCAGCTATCGTCTAGTTTGCTCCGACGGATGGAGCGAGGAGTTCAGCAACTCTTACTGCCAAGCTTTAGGATTTTCGGGTTCCGAGGCGATGGAATTACTTGATTGGGACAGGAACCAGAAGATCCTGAAACTGAGGTCGAGCTCCAATCCCAATATGCCGCTAGTCACGAATTTAGAGCCAGTCGAGTCCTGCGTCTCCGAGAAAGTTGTCCAGCTCTCCTGCCAAGAATTTTCTTGCGGCTCCCATTACGGTGAAGGGCCGACTGCCAGATTAGTCGGCGGAACTCAAGCCAGCGAAGGACAATGGTCCAGTGTGGTTTTGTTAAAGGAACCGAAGCACGGTGCTGCTTGTACGGCAAGCGTGCTGGGACCGATGCACGTGCTCGCGAGTTACTCCTGTATTCACAAGTAAGACATAATTTAACAGCAAATATTTCTATTAGCTGTGAGTATCCTCTTTTTTTAAATAAATCTTCTCCTGATTCTAGACACAAACAGAGTAACGGCTGGCAACTTTTCATCGGTGAGAACCAACTGAAAGCTCATCCGGTCAAGAACATCATTCCGTATCCTCAAGTGAAGTACAATCAATTCTTGTACAACAACGATATCGCCTTAGTGGAACTCGAGAGACCATTGACATTCTCGAGGAATGTCAGCGCCGTTTGTCTTCCAAAACATCCGATTCAGGTGGGTCACCATTTAGTTCGTAACACTTTAAGGATAACGTGGACAGTCTCAGCCACAAAGGGATACAATTTAATACCTATTCTTCATGAATTTCAGCCAAGACAGTTATGTGTGATGGTGGGATGGGGATTCCCCGTAAACGGCGAGATGGATTTGCAGAAGTATCTGAAATTCCTGCCGCTGCCAACTCGCGATTCCGAGGAGTGTAACGCGACGAGTCATTACGCAGGATTTATTACGAAAGATAATATTTGCGCTGGATTCACCGACACGGACAAAGGACCTTGCTACGTAAGCTGTCTTCGCCGTTCAGCTTCCTTGTACTCGGTTAGCGAATGGCATTCTCATCCTGGTTTCTTTCAGAACGACGAGGGAGCACCCTTAATGTGTGTCAGTGAGTCTGGTGGCACTTCAGCCAGATGGGAAATTCAAGGTCTACTTAGTCACCACAGCAGATGCTCAAGAGGTCATCCAGCAATTTACTCGAGCGTGGAACCCGCGCTCTCTTGGCTGCGGCAGTCTGTACCCGCTTTACAAACGCAAAGTTAAAAGAAAACGTGTTCTTGTTTTTTTTTTTTGTTTCTCGGAAGTATTAGATGAATCGACTTTGAAACACAAATTGATGTTACGAGACAAATTCAAAGAAGGGAACTGAAAGGTTTGAATTTCCAAGTTCCACTAAAAAACAGACAAAAGATGTACTTAATTTGTTGTATTTTTTTTTATAACGTTAAATCCGTCTACATTTCAAACAGTATGTTCCTATTTATAAATGCAAAGAATGCAATCGACGGATAGCACTGAATGGCCATAATTCGATTTCTGTATGAAAAAAAAAAGGAAATGTAAATGATTCTTTTCTTTTTTTGTGTTACTAATTAATGGGTAGATATTGCAATATTTTTGTAGTAAGAGTGACAGAGGTACACACAATTGGCGACACGATACTTATTTACAATTAAGAAATTTGTAAATACTGTATAAAGTGACTGTTTAATATGATTAACATTGTAAGAGATTTTTTTACAGGTTTAGCGAATTCGGTCTCTTAAGTATGATCATGGAGAAGACACTGAATATCTGTTGAATACTTGATTGGACTGTTGACTTCTGATAGTAGCTGCTTTTAATGTATTCTCTCTCAAGTATTGCAGTTTGCTTCATTGGCAGAATGGTAGTTAGCAATGATATTAGTGTTATTGATTGAATTCAGTTACTATAGAGAAGTTAATAAGGTAAAAAAAGTATTTATTCAATTTAAGAGACCAACGCATAAAATACATCCAATTATTCATTCAATAGTTTGTCTCAGAGATCCTGTGAAAGGATTTCTGAAACGAACAATGGATTAGGATAAGAAATAGATAGGATAAATGTATATAATATATAAGTATTTTAATAAAATACATTGTTACGGAGAGATACAATAATAAAATATGTTTATGTATGCATAGTCACTGATGAATGCATAAGTATTTTTATATACTAAGGATAAAGAATAAATGTACTTTAAATGAATGCAACATCTTTTCATTTTGGGTATAATACTTTAAGTAATTTTATTAGTAAAATCATAAGTTAATTCTTCTTTTTCTATTTACACATGTTCTTAATCTACTTGCTTTTTAGGCTTAGCTGCAGTTTCGGCAGCTGTTACTGCTGTGTCTATAGCAATTAATGACTTCGAAATGCTATTTATTACTTCATTGTATTTGGAGAAAACTTCATTTATGTGGCTATTCAGGTCTTGACTCTCTTCATATATTTTCAAGTACGATAGATTTAAATCATTCAGTTTGCTGGATAATTCTGGTACATCTCTTAATCTATTAGTTTCTATTACAGGCAACAGTTCCTGCATCTGATGTAACATGTCACAATTCTGTCTGATCTCTGGTTCCATTGTAAGCAGTAACTGAACTTTAGCCTCTATAGGTAACTCTATGGTTTCTACTGCTGGATCTAAATAACTATTCAATTCCGGTAAACGCTTTATTGCTGCACTTGTCTTTTCACGCCCTGACATAGCAGATGAGATCAATGTATTCACATGTAAGAGGCTATCAATCACAGGATTCTCCGGTGGAATATTATTACTCCCATTTGTATTTTTTAGTCCACATATACGTTTTTCCAATTCTGCTATTCTATCCTCTAGCAATTCAATAGTTGCCATTCTAAATGTTTAAAAAAAACTGTGGTAACACACTTGTGCATATGTTTCCATAAATGAATTATAAATTAATTATGGAAATGCACATTTAACAACTTCAACTCTTTATAGTGTTAGTGAGACATATTTTTGAGATATGTTCTTCAATTTAGAAATGCAAAATAAAACTGTTAATAGAGAGAAAGTGTAATATTTAATTTTGTATATTTTAAACTTATTTTAGTTTACTCATTGTTATTCTAAAGTTAATAATACATACATATATCCTTTTTAAGATAATATTTGAATATATAAATTAGATACCATTACACTTGTAAGTATTAGAATAGATGATTTAATAGTATATTAAAGCTTATAAGAAATTAAGATTTAGACACCTGTTACAAATAGCAAGTTTTCTATAATAACACCGTAATGATAATTAGCACTACTTACTTGACCAAATTTAGTAGCTGCTAAATTGTAACTTCACTTTATACAACAGAAGAATATAAATAACGGTATTTATGTAACGTTTTGCAGCACAATATACAAATTTTGACAGAAAGAATGAGGTTATAATGCACCACCTATCTGATGTTATGCAAACTTCGATGCATTCGATCAAAGCATTGCTAACTTCAATCCAATGGAAGCTCGCGGTAAATTGAAAAATGACAATAATGTCACAGTATTTTGCGCGCTCGATCTTGGAATAATCAAAGTTCCAAGAAAAGTATTGCTTTGCTTAAAGATAATACAAATCCTTGTTTAACATGTCTACAGTTACAACACTGTGTACATATAATCTTCATGAATCACGTTCTCAACCGCTCGCTGTCAGATACGAATTATTAAATGTTTTTTCCATAATATACATCGTCGAAAACGTAATATTTAAAAAAAAAATATTCTTCATTGTCATCACAGTTTAACAAATTGATAACTTAATGTTCGTATCTGTAGAATATCGAGCAGCCATAACTATTTGTTGTTTGTATATAAACGCGCATACATATTCAAAAAATTTAATGTATCGTTTCAGCGTCAGAAATATGAACGTTGAAATTGTTATTATAGAATATAGATTATAGATTAAAATAACTCTGCATTCGCTCACCACATCGCGTCCGTATTATTCGCCTTCTGCAAATTAACCCCGTTTTTGCTCAAGAATCTCTGGTTCATGTACCGAAACTTTCCTCGAATTCTGCCCGGTGAAATGAAAAAAGAACCCGCGCTTGAAATAGATGCAGCATAAGAGCTTACACATGCACATAGAGGTATTTACATTGTACACACTCGGGAACTGCACATTTTTAAATAAACTCCCTCGTTCCTCCCACTCTTGCCTGAGAACTGTTACAGACGAATATCAGACAATGTCCGTAAAGAGAGCCGCGTCGATGGTGGGGGTGGGGACACGAAGTATCTGTCATGGCCGACGTCCACTGGGAGCGTAGTTTTGGTCAGGCCGTGTCGGCGAACGGTGCACGGTGTGTCCGCTGGTGAAAAGGAAACATGGGGCACGATAATGGGCAGACGGTTAAGCGAAGAAGGTGTTAGCGAACTCTCGGTCCTTGTAAAGGACGATTTATGCGAGAGGACCGCGACGATGGAGTCACGAGCACGGAGGACTCAGTTGCGAAGCGTTGTCGGGATATGTCTGTTCCTAGCGCTGACGAGCATCATTTATCTCGGTTACTTTTGCCCGGATCATGTGTGTGCCCTGACGAATCGCGAAATCAAGGAGTCTGTGAGACTGTCGGAGAGCCTGTCCGTTGGCCCCGGCTCCGGCTTGTCTTCCGTCTCCGTTGAATTCGACAAAAATGGCCTGCTCTCGGTGCATCCTGCTTTTAGATTGCAAAGCATCCAGGGGAGCCTTGGTTACGACGATGTGTTTACCAATGATACCTTCCAGTTTGATATCAATGCGCACGATGTCATCGTTTTCCTACATATTCAGAAGACTGGTAAGTGATAACGTTATCCCTCGTATAACAAAGACGAGTAAATTTATTACCTAAACAAAATGTTCTGAATAACAAATAAAACATACAGACTACCTGTCAGGTATTGTTTGTCAATTAAACGTGAGTGGGTAGATTGCCGATGGTTGTGCAAATTTATACTTTTTCTCTTGGACTGAATTTGTATGTACAACTTATGAAAATTTTGATTAAACAATTTACATATGTTGTTAACTATGTAATTAAGTACACAATAAGTTGAGGCCCTTATACAATGTTTCTATGTGTTGTTTGTTATTCAAAGAATATTACGCCTATTTCTGTTGTATATTTATTCCAACAGGTTTTCGTTTCTGTTTTTGTTTTTATATTTCTGTTGTATGAACAATGTCTTGCATCACTTTGTCACTTGAAACTTATAGGTTCAATGTTTTGGAAGACAAGTAACAATGTAATTTGAATAATTTCTGGTAGCACTATTCATAACAATTTTAGTTTATTATATTCAAGTGAGAAATCAATTGAATAAGTTATTGAATAAGGTGGAGGTTAAGAATAACCTTATTATATACAAATTAGAAAGTCTGCAGATCATAAACTGTCTGCATAAATATATATTTTTCTTTGACTTTGTACTTAGATTTCTTTGGGTGAATGCCAACCAATCCTGTAGCTTAATAAAAGGAGAAAGAACAATTCAGGGATGTTGTCTTGTTTAATATGCTGTGCATGCATATGCCTGTTTCCTTCTTATTTTCTCTGTACAAGCTTCTTATAATCTTTTCTTCATCAAGATGCATATCAGTAGTAGATACAAGTTGTAAAAACTTGTTTAATGTATTACTGGTCATCCAAGTGATTTTTTTTTTATTGACTATCAGATTACCAATACCTGTGGATGAAATATTTATAATCATGTTTAGATACTTATAAACATGTAGACCTTTCACACATAGCACACATGTTTTTATGTTTCAGGAGGAACACTATTCGGAAAACATTTAGTCAGAGATCTGGATTTACAGAGACCATGTTCTTGTCAGAGAAGACGCAAGCGTTGTTTTTGTTTCCGTCCAAATCGTAATGAAAATTGGCTGTTTTCACGGTATTCCACTGGCTGGAAGTGTGGTCTGCACGCTGATTGGACTGAATTGACCAATTGTGTTGATACTGAGTTAAATAAAATTGAAGGGGAAGGGATAAAACGTAGATACTTTTATATAACTATTATAAGAGATCCCGTTGCACGATATTTGTCTGAATTCAGACATGTGCAAAGGGGTGCAACATGGAGAGGTGCACGTCACTGGTGTGGAGGAACTCAAGCAAATATACCACAGTGTTATCCTGGACCCAGCTGGCAGGGAGTCTCTCTAGAACAGGTAACACTGTTATATAATTTTTAATGCTGTTTAGTAATTTGAATATACTTTTGTATCTTAGTATTCTCATAAAATCGAACAGAGTCTTTTGTGAGTACAGCATTAAGTATGTTATCTGAAAGGCATTCAGATTTAGAAACACATTAAGATAAGCATTTTCCCTTATCTCAAGTCCTCCCTTTTCTCCTATTTCATATAGATGCAATTCTCCCAGTCAGAACAGCAGTTGCTTTGTTGATACTGAGATTTGACACTTACAAAAAATTATCTGAATTATAAATTTGTGTATATATCCGAAAATGGAAAAATGTTCTCTATGATAATATCAATAGAAATCATTTTGATAAACTATGTTATTATTTACATAGTTTATGGCGTGTCCATATAATTTGGCAAACAACCGCCAAACCAGAATGTTGGCTGATCTATCAATTGTTGGTTGTTACAATTCTACACTCAGCAGCTTGGAGAGAGATCGGCTCATGTTGGCTAGCGCTAAACACAATTTGCAATTCATGCCTTTCTTCATGCTGACTGAATACCAAAAAGTAAGAACTAAATTTTTTTTGTTAATGTTTCGAAATAGCATGTTTGCATGACATATGTACTATTATGTCTCATTAATGTAATTACTTGTCTCTTTTAAAAGCTTTCGCATTCACTAACTGAAGTCTCTAGTGCCCACATAAATAAATTTTTTTTTGTTTCATTAACATGGTTTTTATATTTTCTATACGTTTAACATTATTTTTAAATATACCTGACCCGGTTGTACGAACGTAGGTTTTACGATACACTAGCTAGAATATCATCTGTTGGAAAGTAGCTCTTGATGTAAATATTTGTCTTACCCACCATACGCAGACGATGAATATCCCGTAAACATCCCACGCTTTTAACCGTTTACTTTTATGGGTAACTTGAGTTTTTGTTCTGCTCTGCTTTAACATGTCCCAAATGTGTTAATACTAAATTACCAAAACTAAAACACTTTGTTTTTTTTAAATACGAAGTGTGTAATTAACAATCATATCTTATAAATCACAGTGTACAATCTAATTGTAGCATGAAGTTTCGCAGAAATTAATTTTGCCTTACGCGTTTTGTGTTATGTTTATGGAATATGTTGTTTTGCCAGCTTTGATCTGTTTTTTTTTTGTTACTTCAAGATCAACACGTTTGCCATCCATCATTATTACTGCATCAACAAGAAATTGTTTCTCAATAGGCATGATTCTACGTGATTCTAACAATTTCTTATCATACTTTTTTTCTGGTTATGCAATAGGAAGAAAAATGTTAAATTCAAAATTGTTGTTATTAGTAAAGTGTTTGCACTCAGTGAATATACAATACACTCCATCGCTTTGTGACAGTATTACTATCATTATATATCGTCCAATATTTAATATTACCTAGGTGGGACAGTATTCTTTTGAAGAAACATTCGGAATGAGATTCGCTGTTGCATTCGAGCAACATAATGCAACGCTGAGCGCTGCTACTATGGCTACCCTTACTGCAGAACAATTAGATGCTGTGCGTAGGCTTAACAGACTGGATCTAGAACTTTACGATTTCGCGAAAAATCTCGCGTTCGAACGATTCAAACGGCTTAGAGACCGCGATCCGTATTTTGTACAACGATTTCAACACCTTGGTGAGCTACCTTCGAGACAGAGTGCAACAGAATTCAATTGGGATTCTGTCATTGAAGATACGACAGATATTGAATGATATGTAAGTATGTCATAAAATAGATATTATCGATGCTTTGTATTCATAGCTAAGCGAATAAGGTTGCTCTGAATCTGAGCATCTCAGGGAATCACCCTTGAAAGAAAATGTTTTACATTCAATTATTCTATGCAGCTGTCTGCATGTAACTTACCAAAAGTGTTGTAGAAATTAATTTGGATAAGACCAAAGAGAGCTCAGAGGATCTCGGTGTAATCCTCTTTGAATAGCTATATATGAAAAGTCTATATATATGAAGTAAATGACACAATTTTTTATGATTTTTATAATCTTTAGAAATGTCCTATGCAAAGTTCTTCCATTCAATGCAAGTTTGCTTACTGTATTACATTTAAGCTTACGATTTGTTGATATTTCTAATTCAGTATAGAACAGTATTTTGGAAGCAGATGTCTTTTATGTTTTAAAAAAATCAGTATAGCGAATCACTATTATGATTGTAGCATTTTTTCTCGTATTGGGGAAACTTGATATACTTAAAAAAATATATTCTACAGAAATGAGAACTGTTGGTATACATTGAATGGTACTCACTATTTTCATTACATTTGCTTTAGTATTGTTTCAAACGTGATATATTTCTACGTCTTAACAATTGAAATTACTAATATGTATTTAAAAAAATAATATTATTTTAAAGAGAAATTTTTATTTCTTGTCTTTATAAATATAACAAATTAAATTAGTGTTTTTATTTTTACTATATTCGTTACAAATTAGAAGTAAAAGTTTTATTTCAAACTAAACAAATTAAAAGTAATACGTTTTAAAGTATATAAATTTGATCATGAGTTCATAATCAGTTTTACGTGTCAATATCTTCCTAAACCTGTCTTAAATTTGTCAGTTTTTTTCTGTGATGACAAAAAATAATAATTAGAAATGAATGAATTGTCCACTGACCTTTTAACGATCTCTAATAATTTGCCGATTTTACGGACATCGGCGAAGTTGAGAACCCCTGAACGATCACAGTTCTATATTCCTATGTAACTAGCACATCACGGAGATAATAAAATTGACACAATATGCAGCATGTATAAAAATCTCTAAGCGATTTTCAATGGAAGGATAAATATTACAAATTAATTTTGTAAATATATCAAAAAGTATATATATTTTTTAATAGAATTATTTGCAGTGTTATTTAAACAAAGTGGTATTAGATTTAATAAAAGCGATCTGTATAGTTTAAGTGATAAAGTGTTCATGTGAATGTTGGAATGAATGGTCATACATTGAATAAACGTGTCTAATATTAGATATAGTAGACTCCCGTTTAACCGGAGTCCACCCCATTCTGTGGGATCGGACCTCTGGCCGGGTAAACAATTGGCCGGTTCATCCGACAATATGTATCAGTAATCAAACAACTATCCAGTATTCAAAAATTTAGTATTAATAGAAAATAAAATTAGTAAGAGAAAGATTATTGAAACAAAGACAAATATGGTAAAAACTAAATTTAGTCGGAAGTGAATACATAATCAACGGAATATGTCAGTAATTTGTCTTCTAGTTAATTGTTTTTATGTCAACAAAAATGTGGCCTGTCAAAGCAAGGCCGGATAATCGGAAGTCTACTGTACTGATTATTTAACAATGTAACTGCTCGGAAAGGTCGTCTCACTTGAATAGGTGTTTATGTTTTATTAGAATTACCAAACATTTAAGAATTTTTTTTTATGCAGGAGTTTAAGATATCAGATTTGCAGTTCATATAATCTTCCTTTTTGAAAGTTGTATTAGGAAGATTATGTAGTTGTTTAATGCATTAGAATTGCATGTGCAATAAGATTCTGTGGGTTACCATTATAAATAATTCATATCATCCAGTCACGAGATAAATGTAATATATCCTATATATACTATATGTCTAGCTAGTTAGCATTAAATTGTTATAAAACAAAATTGCAAATACTCTCTTTAATATAGTACTGGTCTTTTACATGATCGCCACCTTTACATTATAATTTTTATCGTAAATGAGTGCCATGAATCATGTAAAATAAATCGATCTGTTTTTTACATTTACCATTACAAATGATTTTTGTTAGTATGAAAATATATAATGTTTTTCAATGAATGGTTCATATGCTGCAGCTTTTCATGGCCTATGTTAAATATTTTGTTGTTGGTTTTTGAACGGTAAGTGTTGTTAGTTAATATTTGCCGACATTTCGTGAAAATTGAGTTTTCACTTAATTTTAATGAATGGTACATTTTTGTAGATGCGTAGAGATGTAAGCAAAAATTAACTTGAAACTACTATCGCGTACAAATCAACAACGTGTGAAGAATCTATTTGTTAGTGTATGCATAATATTAAGCATGTAATTTAAAAATAATGTTAAGGACCAAAGATTTAATAAGTGTTAACAAGAGTGCAGAGAGCTGGTCACAAGCAATTGTAAAAAAGAAAACTTTTTATATGTTCTTAAACAAAGCGATTGTTATAATTGCGATTTAAATGGGAAGATGTGATACTACGCATTTTTCCATTGAATGTATAGGTACAATAATTACAATAATTAGGAATATCTACTTGGACCGAACGTGAATAATTTTTGATGTAAATTAACATACTTATGCAAATTTTTAATAACACAATGCTATTTTCGCATATTTATCTTTCCCGTGCATTAACATTCTTATAATTATACAGAGATAATGGAACTAAATCACACAGGGTGTGCAGTATTTTAAAATTTATAAATGCAATACAATTAGAGATAACAATAACTATTTTATCAACTTCTTAGGTTATAATAACTGCTATGTTTCTCTGCCATTTTTTTTATTCCACATGTAGTGTGCTTATTGGACTATATGTCTCAGAGAATAGTTGTGTCCATTTGTAAACAGGTATACATCATTGTTTACAAATGTGTCTGCATTATCAACATTGTAAAAAACATGCACATACTCATTGAATTAGTGTGAATGATGACTAACTTTAAAGTGTATAATATACAGTCCTTAGCACGAAATTAAGTTATATAAATGGGAATGAAAACAAAAGCCATGACAGTAGCCTAATGAAGCAGAATATAGGCCTAAGCCATTGGTACCTTATGTAAGCCAGTGTACATATTATACCATTAATTCTTTAAGGAACAATAAATTGTTGTGTATACAATATTATATACAATCTTATACAGACATATATAAATACATAAAAAATATATATATTATATATAAAAATATTATATGTAAGTTGTACACACATATTTAAAATTATGTTATTTGATTATTAAATAATTATACAAAGGAAAGACTGTAGTCATTTTCAGGCACACCAGGTCAAAATAAATTCTAATATCTTGATGTCAACCTCAATAATTAATGTGAACATTGTTGTGGAGGTATTAAGAACAGTAATAGAATATAAATTAAAATGTTTATTTTGCAATTGCTAATTAAATATATTTATACATTATTATTAAAAGAATTTATTATTCATAGAATTATATCTTAACTTTCCAGCTAGATTAGAATAGTTTTTCATTTTGTTCTTCACTGTTATATTAATGTAGGATGGACATGCAGTATTTTGAAAATTTGTTCCCCAATGAGACCAATTTTGCCATGTTAGCATATTTTGCTAGAGCAGTGATTGCTCTAACATTATCTTTTCAAAACCTGCAGGTAGAGGATGAACAAAGTTATCCAAAATTATATCTAAAATGGCTCCATCATCCACTATAAAAAAAGATTAATTTTATACATTAAAGTATGACTAAACTATAAGTTTTTTAATTTGTAATACATTACCATAAAGTATTGGGTACACAGTTCCTTTTATTCCCATTACAGGGGTCTCCATTGATTTTCCATTTACATAGAAATTAAGTTCTACATGGTCATAAGATACACCCTGATAAATAGAAAATCATTAGCCTACAAACTTACATTTATATCAACTTTGTACGTACTATGATATCTCCTTCCTGCACTAGAGTTTGAATCTTATGTATTTCTTGCTGGTTATGTCTTATAATGCCATCAGAATTAAGAGCCCAACTTTCCATGTCATTTCCTCCAGTTGCAATATTCAGATCCGTGGATCTTGTGGCTAATCCAACTGCCCATATACCACTTTGTTGTATTTTAATTTCAAAATAACTTTTACTTTGAACAAGAGGAGCATTTGTTAAGGCACCACCACAACCACATACTCTTAGACCATCTTTTACTATCACAACTTCATGTCCTGTACCAATTCAACATTTTGATTCACACGATATTAGAATTAACAAGGCATTGTAGTTTTTAAAGACATTTTAACACCGAGCAAGAAGAACATTTATCAGAACAATAATACATCATCCGTAACACAGGATACTCAATAACAAAGGTAGAAATTTTATGCAAATTTAATGATATGGATGCAGTTAACATTTTAAAACACAGTTATGTACTAGCCTAATCATAAACATTTAAATTACCCATATAAGATGTATCTAAAGCTATAGGATTCGGACGTTCCTTCGGCATTTGCGATTCAGCAAAGCCGAGGCCGTCAAAACAATTCCTCAAACAGCAAAACATCATTCGTGCTCACTTCCCTTTACTGTTTATTCAAACAGGCAAACGCGGCATTGTACCACCTCCAGGAGAAAAATTTCTTTTTTCTCCTGTGAGAAACAAAACTATGTACGAACGTTACACAATACTTATTTTTATTGCAAGGAAACGCAGTCACTATGCAACTCCTAGATATGATAACAGCTTGATGCGGCGTAAATTTCAACGTATGTAGATATCAATGTGTGTAGGCAGCTATGTATATATGTATCATAGAAAATGGCTTCCATTCAAATATGTATATGTAGTATGTATAGATACTAAAAGTATGACCATTTTATGCAATTATAGTTTATTTTGCAATCGAATTTGAGAATAGAACAAAATTTTTCAGATTAGCATCTCCATAATGTAATATTTAGTATAATGAAATGGAATTGGTTTAAGGTTATGTTTTACTGATCAAATTTGAGGTTATGCATTAACAAAACTAGTAGATACGTAGGAACATTAAAAAAACACACGTGCAGTATATTGTACTTAATTTAATGTTTAAGTTAATATAAAATTTCAGTTATAATATATCAATAAGGAAAGAAGTAAAAAGATTGTGTTTAGTACCAAAGTGGTATTTATTTGTTTATTTTATACAAGAAAAATTTATATCCGACTGGGATACATCATCTGTAATGAGAAAAAACATTAAGTTCAAATATTATAAAGTTTGTTTTTGGAAATTTCATTTGCTACTTTATTAGTTAAGTAACTTACAATTCTGATACGGTGACCCATAGCTTTAGCTGGTAGATTTCTCTTAAACTTAGCACGTACTGAACCACTGGTACCATGAGGTCGGGTTACTTTACCCCAAATAGCTCTAACTTTCGTTTTTCTACCTTTCTTGCCAGGAATAGGTGTCTTATTCTTTGCCTATAATAGAATGCAATGGATGAGAAATATATGATGTGTTATAAAAATGTTGTAGAAAGAATTGAAATGAAGCAATTAATTGGTAAAAGATGTGAAAATATTACCTTATATACATAGACACATCGTTTTCCTACATAAAAGTCTGAATCACGTATGGTTTTTGCACCTTCAACTCTCAATAATGCTGTGTGTTCATGTTGATTACGAAGGCCACGTTTGTAGCCTGTGAAAATGGCTTTAGCATATAAACGTCCGTGTCTTTTAAAGCGCCTTTTCTTTAACGATGGAGGTTCCACTGGCTTCTCCTTTGGCTTCTTGGTCGTTTTCGTCTTAGCCTTAGGTTCATCGCTCCGAGGGCACAACAAAGATTAGGATGAACTTGAGACACTATGTTATTCAACTGATTTAAATGTTATCAGAGCACTACAGGTTATGTCAAAGTGGTGTTCGAAATCCATTAGAAAACAAAACAAAGTTTCATTGTATCATTGAAGAGAGATGTCTGTGACACAGTATTTTTCACTGACTTATGAAAAAACTGTATCACTACCGTATTCGAATTTTATTATAGAATACACGTTTTTGTTGTTATACGTCCGTGAACACCGTGTGAAACGCAGCTCCCGTAATCCATTTGGATCAATAAAAAATACACGAAATATGGCAAAGAAAATATTTACGTGATATCAAGGAATAGTAATCGACAATCTAAGATTATTATTATTCTATCGGCTTAATTAATTTAATATATTTTAAGTAATAAATATGAGACTTTGACACCGTAAGACATACCGGATGTATATCGCGAACTAAAAGAAACAGGAAACTTTAGCCCTCTTACGGCAGAGACGTCAAATGTTTTGTAAATTACCACAGACGAGATACAGAGTAGACCTAACGTCCAATGTAATTTTCTGTCACATGCTCGAGGGCTGTAGAGCCCCCATACCAGTTTAGTGTCAATATCCGACTTTACCGATGAAGCATGAATTCTGAGTACATATTATTAGCACCAGAGAGGAAATGAGAGTGCTCAGTAGAATACTTCTATTCTGCATTATCATACATAAGTGAGTGATAATCTCACTTTATCTGTGAAAAAATCACAGAATAGAAGTATTCTACTGAGAGGATACTGATATTTGTGAGGCGTAAGTTATTTATTGAATAACGCACGATGGAATAAGAAATGAAATAAAGATAGTGATGTATTGTTTTTTATTTAAATAATTACAAAGAAATATTTAATTTACAATAATGTGTAATGCTTTATTAATGATTTCTTTTAATGATTACAAACCATTTCTTCCGTAATATGTTGCAAAGTTTCCAACGACTTCGTGATGTCCTTATCTCTTCGAAGATTCTGCTTTACTTCCAATCATTATTTACAACAAATAGGTCTTTTGTGGCGACAGTCTGAACAACTCAGAATCTTTAGAAATAATTAGTCGAATAATTCTTCACGGAACTTCGAAAGAAGATTAAGGTTCTTATTGCTCATAAAATAATGAAACCGTCTTAACGAAGAATTGTTTCGTACGTAAGCGACTACATTTTTTGTGTATTTTTAATCTACCCTCTAAGGGACTTTCTTCAATTTCTCGAGGACGTTTTCTTTCGACATTCTTTTCTGCTCGGCCCCATAGATTTTCTCGGCTATTAAAGGAAACCGCCATACGAAGCCGGCGAAATGTCGAAGAAGGAAAGAAGCAATCGCTGTCGACGATACATTAAAAGTAAAATGCTTTCAGCGGTCTTCATAGAGCAACGTTTAATTATGAACGTCCCTCTGAAAGGGAAAATACGAAACGTTAGTTATTCTAGAATGCAATTAAACATTGCAACGCTCTGTTTAATATTTCACCGGTGAAAGACATCTTTCCAGTCGGTTGACTTCCGTTTCTTTCACTCGTGTCATTCATGTCCGCTTAGGAAAGACGTGTATGACTTACAAAATGAGCCGGAATACTTCTGGTAAATATGAAAATCCAAAGCGATGCATGAGACAGACATTATATGCGTATGAAAGATGAGCTGAAATCTTGTGGCAGCATCATTAAAAATAATAGTAATTACGATTATCTTAATTGTGAACTGTAATGAAAGGGAGCTCAAGGATACATGTAATAATTTTACTCGCGGTGTATCGCGATTTTCGACGGTCGCCTTCTGCATTTTTATGAATCGGGGGATGATTCGTGGATTTAAGTTAGCCAGCGTAAACAAGCGACAGCTGGTCGCGGCAGAGTATACGCTAAAATTGCGGCTAATGACATAAAATATTCCAATATGATTAGCAGGTGTACGACGGAATATATACACAGGGGCCGGCTATCAATCAGTGACGGTAATCAAATGCAGATTTCATTCCAGGACCGTTTAATCACCGCCTCTTGTCTGCCTTATTTATTCTTCGGGATTCTTCTTGCAAATTTGCGCTTCGTGCTCGACGCCCGCGGAATTTTATACCCTTAATAATGCAAATATTGACGTACGTTCGCGGTGGCCGGCAGCCGCCACCGAGCCGACGGTGTTTTATTTCGGTGCTGGTTCCCCGAAACGAATATTGCACGAGTAATTCCGTCGTCTGACGCTAGAGCAACTGTGTAATAAACCGAATGATATCCTTTTTATTCGAAGCATTTTTCGCTAAAGATTGCTCGAATGACTTGACGACGTTATAAACGGTCTTATTGACGGGACAGGTTGAAATGTTTATGTTTAGACTCGCTTCGAATATTAAACCATTATCAGGAATCGTGGAGGATTTGTTTCTTTATTTAAAGATTATGTACCGTTCAGTATCGAAACGTACGGAAGCATTACTAACTTCTGTATCGCTCCAAAATACCCGGTTAACAGAGATTGGCACAATTAATACATAGTTAATACATTTATTCGAATAATAAAATATAAATCGAATTATTTTATGATCCAAATTGGAATTACTACGTTCAATCAAGTAAAAATGACGAAATATTTTGTTCATCTTTTATTCATTATTCGAACCTTTTTATCCAGATAATGAATTTTCCCATTTCTGTCGGTCAGTACAGCTCTATCCTTGTGACACGTTTTCCAGTCAAATATGGCCATATTGAAAGGGTTAAATCTACAGAGATGATCACAAAACAATCAGTCACTCCTCAATTCTGTCCTCGATGTCGGTGCTGGTGCTTGAATTAGCTCTAACGTAAAAGGCACGAAGTCGAACGTACTCGAGGGGATGTTACACGTACCCCTGGGGGGAGGGGGTTGGTCGATGAAATCGTCAATTTTTCGGTCTGATTATTAACATAACGCGAATGTACCGTTCCAAAAATAACGGTAGAAACCGATCAAACGACTGGCGGTTGCGCGTCGGTTGAAAATAAACCGAGCGGTGAACGGCCTTTGGGAACGGTAGCCAAATAGGGGTAAAGACACAAAAGAGGAGATACGGTTACGTGCACATTGGCACTCGAAGAGTGCCGTTCCGGAATATCGATTTCCAATAGAATCGTCCGTACGAGGTGGGGGTTGGTGATAGTAGGCAGGTATATATTCGACGGTGCTAATTCCAAATATCGTCGATAGCCGGTTTGTAAGATTGGAAATTCCGTTCTGTACATATACTTCAAGGCCAGACGCCTAATACACGCGGATGTTACGCCACCGCTCGACTACCACCACCGTCGCCACAAATCCCCACGATCCGTATAATCCTACGGAATCGGCCGATACGGTCCCTGCTACTGTGTAAACCACCGATTGGATTCTGGATTATCATCGTTTCGCAATATCTATCTTCACTACTCCATCCCCCCTCTCTTTTACCCGTAACGTCTTTCGTTGGACTGATCCCGCGGCCACGTCGATTAATCGGAAACGTTCGCACATTTTCTCGTTAACAGAGGAACGTTCTGCTCTTCGAAGACTGTGTAAAATAAACGAACGGAATATTCAGTTGGAACGTTTAGGCGCAGGGTGGTCTTGTGAATACGGATTTTTTCAAGGATTTGACAAGGGAAGTGAAATGATTCGAATTAATTTCTGTTAACATAGTGTCGCTATCTACCATTTTCAATATAGCCGCCATCTTTTCTTGTAAGAAGATTGTCTTCTTAGGAGACCATCTTTTCCTTCGATATTTTCTATGGAACAGTTCTTATAATTCATGGCGAAGTTGACTCAGCCACGGTTAACCCTTTAACGCCCAGGCTCAGAAATCGTTATTTCAAAATTAAAAGTCTGATATATATACAGGGTGTCCCAAAAATGTCCTCCGACCCGGAAATGGGGCACTCGGGGCGTGAATTGGAACAACTTTTGCTACAAGGCCGAAAAGGTTTTGAGCCATAAATAACCGAAAATTTCGCTCCGGACTGTACAAGGGTGGTCGTCCAGGGCCAAGCAGCGTCAACTTACACGTGTCGGTCAAATTTTTTCCCTGCTCCTCGAGGAAAACAATGTACATTGTGCTTTCCAACTCGAAGCAACGGGCACGTTGGTGGTCCTCTTTATTTCGGACATTCTTAAGCCGATGCACGTGATGTCTGTTTCCTATCTCGAAGGAGTAGGTACCTTGGCAATAAATTAACGGGCTACGCGCCTTGGTGAAACTGCGCGACGGTTTTTTCCTTTCACTTCTGCAAAGCACGTGTTATCCTAGAACCGTTGGTTTTTTTTACCTAAATCTTGTCGTGGTGGGAGTGAACTCACAGTGTAACGATGGGAAACTACTTGGGAGGTAGAGGAAAAATTCTGTCAGTCGGTTAGCAATCGGGCGACAGAGATGTTCAGTTCACGGGAGTCTTACGCAATGTTATGGTGGTACGTAGAGAATAACGGATATGCGGGTGTTGCTGTGCAAGTGTTTGGTTACGTAAAACATCTGAAAAATTGAAAACAATCGGCCCTATCCGGGGCCACGAATTTTCCTAACGTAGCGACAACACGTTGGATTAAAAATACATTAAGTGATTGTGTCGGGTGATCGGTGTTAGTGGTCGTGCAGTGAAGTGAGTACGTATTCGGTGGAATAACCAGGACGCACTTGACGTTACAACCCTTAACTTCGGCTGGTGAGGTATACATGCGATCACCTGCGAACTGGGCGATACCCTGCCATAAACCGTTTCGGCCGTCGATGACCAGGATCGGTTCAGTGACCTAGTGACACAGGTTTGCAAACTGCAGGTGAATTTCCGAAAGGGTGAGTTCTAATCAATTTATTGCTGATTATTACTTTCTTAATTTAACGCAAGCTATGGCTTATTTCCGGCGATAATTCTGCAAGTTTCTGTACGTAACTTTTTCTTCGGGCTTTTCGAAGAAACTTATTCATTATCAGTAACATTGTTGACCGTTATTAAACTACGAATTTTTATACCAATACCGAATTACGATCACATCTCGTTCATTCTCTGTTACATTATCTTTTCGTTCACACGTTATTTGAAAAGGAAATTTACAAATTCGTAGAAAGGAATTTACAAAAAAGTAAATGCGCATTCGTCTTTTTACGTTAAACATAATTTGCCTACATTTACGTTTCATTCATTAATCTCTTTAAATAACAAACAGCAGATGATAAAAAGTATGATTTTATTTGTTACGTCTTTTTTATTTGCTATACACCCTGTATATATATCGGTATTAAACAGACCTGTTTGTTTTTAATTTTTCACTGAAAATGTGAATATCTACTTTATATCACTGAAACTACGGATCCTTGCTGACAAAAATTAGATATTAACCAGCGTTAGAATTTGACAAACTTTTAACATGAATCCGGTGTAACACTGAGCGTAAAAGGGTTAATTTATTTTTCCATACGGAATTGCTGTTTTTTGTTTTTCTTTTGTGTGGGGTTGGTGGGCGTGTATAAATAGTTGGAGAACACATTGATGGTGGTCGCCAAGCAACATTTCGTAATTTCACAGCGACCATCGATTTATCGAACGTACCGACGTTATTTGGCACCCGTTGGTCGCATTTGTGGCGGCGTCCGATGATAT